GAAATTTCGAGATAAAAGTCGAAATTTCGAGATTAAAAGTCGTAATTTCCAAGAAACAAATAATAAAAATATGTGGCCCTTCTGCGCTTCCGTAGCTACGTAGCCTTCTGTTCATCAATATTATTTTACAGTATAGCAACTCTTTTAAAGAATTCTAGGTTAGTTCATCTTTTTCTTTTCTCTTTAGTTGTTCAGAAAAGTTTTGAGAACTTGTTTCCAAATACTCCTCGAGATTCCTGAAATCTGATGTAAGTGGTAGTAATTCTTCTTCATTCCATTTTTTGCTATTTAAGTTTGAGGTAGCTTGAGCAGAAACTTCATTAGCCCACTGACATTGTATAAGTGTTTTCAAAACTTTTATCTCTTTTCTTGAAACTTCCATATCAGATTCTGAAAAACTGAATAATAGCCAAATCGCAACATTTTTTAAATAGAGTTACAAAATTCATATCAACTGTGGGTAATTCATATTCATCAATGCTTTTCCTATATTTTCCTATTATATTAACTCCTTCGATAAATTTTTGTAAGGAATTTTGGACGTAACAAATCAATTAAACCTTTTACATTACTATCGGAATCTTTAGAGATCTGCAACAACTTGGCTAAATTTCTCACACTGGCCCTTACAAAATCCAAGTTCCCTTCACTTTTTCCACCTTTCAAGTACGAATATGCAAACTTGCAAATCAAATCAAAAAGTACTAAACAATGACAGTAAGACTTCTCAAATCATCAACTATGCTGTAGATACAAATTTGTTAGTGACAAGTCACAACAATCCAAACTCAATTATAGAATCGAGTAACCTGTTAGACAGAGCAAACCACTAGTTCTCAAAGAACAATTTGATTCTGAATGTTGATAAAATAAATGCAATTTTATTTAGAACAGCACAGCAAAAAATTGAAACAACAAGTACAATTAACCTGTCAAATAATGCACTTGTAGTCAGAACTCAACTTGGTTTGGGTGTCACACCAATAGGTGGTTCCAAATAAAATTGTTTGGGTCTTAATATAGGTGATTTAAATTATTTGATATGAACTATTTGAAAATAGGCGGGTTGAATGTGAGATCTCTGATACCGTCATTTTCAGAGGTTAAAAATATTATAGTACAGGAAAATTTTGATATTTTTACAGTTTGCGAGTCTTGGCTGAAAGCGGACATACAGGATCATCTGATCAAAATTAACGGTTTTAAGTTATTTAGGAAAGACAAGCAGAGCCGAGGAGGTGGTGTTTGTAGTACGCGGTCCGGCTCCACATGGAACCAGAGCTTTAGAGGTCGACGTCCGGAAGTGACAGAGAACAAAAGGTCTTGTCAGTCTGATCCTGGGGTTCCATCATAGACCTGTCTCCCGACCACAGAGAGAAAACCAAATAAAGAAACATAACATGGCGCAGTTGAAGTAATCAACGTTCCTAAAAGTAGTATCTACGATCATCCACGACTAAAAACAAAAGTCTGAGGATTTAGACATAAAGTTGGGGTAAGAATCATAGCTTGTGAAGCGGTTTCTCTTAATAAAATTGTTGAGGACAATAACATAGTATTCAACCGTTTGCTGACAGAAAACGATGTTTGGAGGTAAGTTTGTTATTTACAGTAGTAGATAAAGTAATCAATAAAGATCTCAGAAATGCAACTGTGTCAAACCTAATCACTTACTGATGAATTATGGAGTTAGAAGAGGGGTGACAAATAGGTTGAATAAATTCCTTTTTGATGTGAAACACATTGGTGGTTGAGATATATCGAAATTAATCTCTATTCCAGTAGCTGACATCTCTGTCAGGTATTGGTTTCTACACTGTCAGATACTAGTTATTCAATTGAGAAACTTATCCCCTTCCATGGTTGAACTTTCACTTTTTATTAAAGGTAACACAGTATTGGTGAAAAAAGGGGCATCAACGGTGTATAATTCTCTGCTAATAATGATGAAGAGTGTATGACTGCTTTATTGACTGCAAACGCAGTTGGTATGATCGCTCCTTCAATGGTTATTTACAAATATGAAATGATACCTTCACATGTAACCAATAAACTGCCTGCTGGTTGGGCCATTGGTAAAAGTGGCCAACGATTTTCTGCCATGGTTGAGAGAAAATAATATTGTTCTGCCAAAAATTTTTTCCGTTGATGGTCATTCCAGTCACTTAACCTTTCCGCTTAGAAATTTATGTTCAGAAAATGGAAATATTCTGATCGCTCTATGTCCAAATTCTAGTCACATCACTCAACCTATGGACGTGGCTGTTTTTTCGTACCTTGAAAAGTGCTTGGAGGAATGCAGTTCAGCAGTAGAAAATTGATAATAATGGCTGTAAGGTGAAGAAAGGACTTTGCATCTATACCTACCCGAAAAGGCAATATTGTTGTCAGTTACTCCAGATGTACTAGCCATTGGACTTAAATCAACTGGGCTATATCCACTTGATCCAAGTGCTATCAAATACGAAAAATATTTCAAAGCAGATCATTCCAGTTCTTTTGCCAATTCTAGGAGCATCATAATTAGAAAAATTTATTGAGAAAGAAACATTGATAGAATTTCGGAATACGATCGGAGATTAGTGCAATGGTGATGTAAAGAACACATCCCTTTATTTTGTTTGGAGGCAGATAAAAAATGACAATGAAAAAGACGTCACGAAAATCACCATTCTCTATGAGATCGAGCAAGCAACAGGAAGGTAATATTTAGAAATGAAAGGGGCTGCAGAACCAATTGAAATTGAGACACCAGATGAGAAACAAATCATCCCGTCTACGAATATAATTCAAGAGCCCCAACCATCTTCATCTGTTATTAATCATGACGAAGTAACACCACTCAAAACTGTACCAACTCCTTTCAAATTTCAAAAAATGTTTGTTGTTTTGGCCTAAGTCAGATAAAACCGATGTGAAAAAGAGATCGAAAGAAAAGTTGCCAGCAGTAGCAACATCCACCAGGTGGAAAGAATATCACTTGAAGAAACAAAAAATCAAAGNATGTATGTCGGAATGCCTACTTAATAAACTATATAAATAACTAGGAGTTTTAGTTTGGAGCAACTTAAACGAAAAAAATGTTTATCAAATATTGGACTCAGTACCTCACAATCATCTCCTTCAAAAATGGTGTAACATGTTCACCATATGGTATGCAGCATACGAATCGCATGCAAACATTTTGTATGTGTTGTAACTTCAGCTTGTTATATTGCGGCAGAAATTGTAATACACCGAACAACAATACTCGATATGGTAGTAAATAAGAGTTTTAACCAGCCTGAGTTTCATTTCTTCAGATAACTGAATTTATACAGCGATTTGAGTTTGAAGAGTGGTACTTTAACAATGTGTTTCACATGTTCATGGAAAGACAAAGAGCTATCTATGGTTACGCTAAGATTTTTAGTACTGTCAACCCAGTCAATGTCTGCGTTATCGATAGTGAGCCTTAAGTTTC